GCATGTTTCTGAGCAGGTTGGTGGGAAATCGGCTGGGGAGCCTCCTTGCAAGGGTGCAGAGCCTGTGAGACCTCAGTCAGGTTCTGTCTGGGAACTGGAGCCCTGGAGTGGGGCGGGGTGCCTTCCTTCACTGCTGCAGTCTCTGCCAAATCCAGGAGCGAGGGCCAAGCAGAAGAGGCTTTCAGTGGGGCCTTGTAATCGAGGGACAGAGAGGTTACTCCAGTGGTTCCCAACCTGACTGATCATTAGATTCCACTACAGAGGCAAGCATAGCCTTCTAGGCCCTAGGGAATTCTGACTCAGTAAGTTTTGGGGCCACATCTGACTGACCGGGCACCGGGAGCCTGGCCTTCATTTAGCACCCACTGTCCGAGGACCCTGGATCCCTGGTAGCATAGTGGATTAAGTGTTGAGCTGCTAATCACAAGGTCACCAGTTCAGATTCACAGGAAAAAGATGAGGCTTTCTGCGCGCCCTTAAAGGAATACATCCTTGAAACCTTATACAGAGTTGCTATGAGTCAGAACCAACTCAAAGGCCCACAGCAACCATAATCCAAGGACCATGATCCGTGAGGGCATTGCTGTTCTAGAGACAAAAGGGGAAAGGGTCCCAGATAAACAGGCCAAGCAACTAAGCCCTGACACCTCGAGGTGTGTAAGGAGGCATAGCTGATGGTTTCTGGAAAGTTCTACCTATTTGGAATGGACTTGGCCAAGCTCCTCCTACATTGCCTGCAACACCATGTGTCCAGCACCACAGGCTGGGCCTAAAGATGGTGTCTCTGGCAGGCTTTCCTTGTAGAAGCAGAGGCATGGCCCTTGTGGGTAGAGAAAGTGCAAGAGCCTGTGGGTGGTAGGACTTCTTGGCACAGACCCTGCAAGTGTGTGCTCTCAAACGTGAAATATACCACTCTATGCTCAAAAACAACAGAATAATTCCTATTATCCCCCTTTTTAACTTTTTATTGTGGAGTAAATGTTTGCAGACAAGATCGTCAGCTTTACATTCAACAAATTATACACTTTGTTTCATCTTAATGATTATAATCCCCTTCCTGCAATAATAGTTGTCTTACTTCCTTCCTGTGGCTCCCCATTTACATCTTATATTTAAATGAACAAAGCAAAAATATTTGATGTACACATGTTGTTATTAAGTGCTGTGGAGTCAGTTCCAACCCATAGCGACCCTGTATAGGGTTTCTGAGGAGCAGCTGGGGAGCTGAACTGCCAACCCTGCAGTTCAAACTGACCATGCAGTCCAGCGCATTAATCCACAGCGCCACACCATCAAACCAAAACGTATATATTTATTTAAATGTCTAAAGGGTGCATTTTGCAAGCCAGCCTCTTGCTCGCAGGTGCACAGCCTTATTCAGTCTCTGGGCCTAGAGCCTGGAGCTGTTCTCTACATGCTACTGCCTCTGCCACCATCTCTGCTGTCGTTCCTTTTCTAGGCAGGCATCTCACGTTCCACTCGGGCTCTTCCTTCTTGATGGTCCTGGAATTGTCTGTTCCTGAGATGAAAGATGAACTACTCCCCACTTACAGTTACACACTTTGTGCAATTATAGTTGTGACAATCACAATCCTGCTACTAACAATCACAGTTGAATCAAAATCCTGTCAACATCATCCCTCATCCCTTTTCACCAGATCCATCTGGACAAGAGGAAAACCATTCAGTGTTCTATTCAGTGTTACACTCCTTCCCCTCGCCCCCCACCCCCACCCCCCAAACTAAGCCCACACATGAAAGCTTGTAAGCCAGCCACTTCATTCCTTTATAGCCCTCCCATTTTTGATAGGCAGTGTCTAAATTGTCCATCCCTATCAACCCAGTGAGGAAACAAGCTTTTTCCTTGATATGAAGAATCTTTCCATTCTGGTTAGAATTTTTAGCAACTGCATAGATTAGTTCATTAAATTGTAGCAATTTACACTTGCTCACAGTATCAAGCATCTTTATCTTCATCTGGTTGAGTTCTGGTCAGCTAGCCATCCAAGCTAGGTCAAATGGGTACTAACTATAAGTTTGAGAGTTCATGCACACCTCCCTGCACTTTAAACCACCTCGCTACTTCACTTTTCAGTTCTAGCTCCCAGTGGCTAGGAGTTCACACATGGGCTTAGGAGTTCACACATTTCCCTAAACTTCAGGCCAGCCAGTCCTTCTCTCCTCTCAAGGCCAATGGGTATCAAAGGAACATGGCCAAACTCAGCCCATGTCTTCATTGCTGCATTTACCCCACTTCCACTCGCAGACTCAGGTGGTCACCAGTGAGCATACCAGAATGCTCATGGGTTCCCTTTAAATTTCAGTTCTAGAAGGGTGTTATCCCTTTTAGAAAAAGCAAAATCGTAGTTGTCAAGTTAATTCCAGCTCATGATATCCCCATGTGGGCAGAAGAACTGCTTCACAGGGTTCTCAAGGCTGTGACCTTTTCTCACCAAGCCTTACTTCCCAGTGGGTTTAAACTGACAGTCTTTTGAATGGAAGCCTAATGCTTAACCATTTGCGCTACCCAAGGATTCCCATTATTCTCATGCTATCCTGTATTTCCTTCCTGCTAATGGGACAAATTGAGGCAGGAAGAGCATAGGCCTATGAGTGTAACTAACATTCAATTCCAGTCCCAGCCCTTTTTCTTGTCTGCTGTGTGCCTGGACAAACGCTTAGCCTCTCTGTTTGCTCATCTGGCAGATTAACCCTAACATAGATGCTCCTGCTGGGATTTGGGCGTGGAGCAGAGAGATGGGCCCAGTACTGCAGCATTCTAGCAGGATGTAGTCCCAGCTTGTCTAGCTTCTCCCCATCTGAGTTCTGGCTGGTTGCTGGGAGCCTGTCAGACTTGTAAATGCTGTCCGTGGGAATGGCCCATGGTAAGGGAAGTGCTGTTACCCTCCAATGCCCCTGCCTATGCTGCTATTTTTGTCTGCTTCTGGTTAATCTGTATCATACAGGGTCAGCGAAGCCTCTCAACACAGCTCTGCCGCATAGTCCTGCAAGTATGAGCTCAAACGGTGACTAAAGTCTAGTGGAACTGCCCACCAGGCAGACAGGCACATGGAAATCACTGGTTCCAGTAAATGCTATGTTCTTGTTCTTTGCAAGAACCTTAAAATGGCATCAACAGCAGAGATTGGATCATTTTTTTTAAAAAAAGAAAGAAAACCGGAAAGTTCATCTATCATGTATCTATCTAAAGTTCCTGGGTCGTGAAAATGACTAATGCCCTCAGCTGCTAACTGAAAGGTCGGTGGTTCAAGTCCACATAGAGGTTCCTTGGAAGACTATGGCTTGCAAAATCAGCCATTGAAAACCTAATGGAACGTAGTTCTGCTCAGACACACATGGGATTCCCATGAGTCAGAATTGACTCTATGGTAACTGCTATGTTTTTCTCAGCAGAGGTTGTGGGAGCCTTGGTGGTACAATAGATCAGGCATTGGACTACTAACTGAAAGGTTGGTTGTTCAAACCTACCAGCCACTCTGTGTGAAAAAGGTGTCTGTTTGCTCCTGTAAAGATTCTCGGAGATTCTAGGAAGCAGTTCTGCTCTCTATAGGATTGCCATGAGTCAGAATCGACGTGATGACAGTGGATGGTGACGGTGGTGGCTGTGTGCCGTGCAGTCGGTTCCGACTCTAAGCGACCCTGTACAGGGTTTCCAAGGCTCTAAGTTTTTATGGGAGCAGAAAGCCTCATCTTTCTCCCGCGGGACAGCTGGTAGTTTCGGACTGCTGACCTTGTGGTTCGCAGCCCGATTCGTAACCACTACGCTACCAGAGATGACAGTGGATACCTCTGTTTATTTGAGCCATAGCTTGCACTGGGATCCCTGTTGGCACAGCTGACTAATTGAAAGCTGGGTTGCTAATTGAACAACTGGTGGTTCAAACTTAGTAGTCGCTCCGCAGTAGAAGATGAGGCTGGCTGCTGCTACAGATTTTGTCGCAGAAACTCTAAGGAGCAGTTCTACTTGGTCCTGTAGCGTCGCTATGCGTCAGTGTTGGCTCCATGACAGTGAGAGCTTGCAGTGACAGGCACACATTTCACTTGTACAGCCTCCATGATTTTTGAATGTGCAAACACTAATTTACCCCCAACCCTTACCAAGAAATAGAGCACTTCCATTTTCCCAGAAGCTGCCCTCAAGCCCCAGGCTCCAGTAGCAGGGCACAGCCCCAGTAGGGTCTCAGCCAGTCGGAGCATGAAGTGGAACAGGACTTGGTGTTGAGAGTGAAGAGGGGCTTCCTAACGAGGCTGGGTTTGCTTAGCGGACCCTGCAAAGTGCAGTGATTACCGAAGGGTTTGCCAGAGCCATAGAGGTTATACTGCTCAAGGCCAGGGGTGATATGTGTGAGGGAATGAGAGCATTTGTTTACAGAGGCTGCCTGTGCTCTTGCCTGGGACTAAATCCAGACACTTATGACCTCCGATGCATCCACCAGGTTTCTGACTGAGGAGTGTGGCTTTCTGACCTGCCCCTGGGAATGCTGAGACAGGTGGCCACGCCAGGCTTTGGGTGGAGAGCACATTACCAGTCCTGTGACCATACAACCTCATGTGGGCGGGAGGTGGGAGCAGACATCAGGGCCCGAGTGTGCAGTCCAGTCTGCTGTACACCCCTGGCATGGTATGCAGTCACTCCCATTGCCAGATTGTTAGACAGCTGTTTCATGATATAAGCACAAAGGTTCTAGCTTTCTCACTGTCTATCTCAGGGTCTCTCTATTGCAGGTTCCCTTTTCTCTAGGACAGTCTTTGAGGATGACCATTGTTGTTCCACCCCCCTGGGTTTCTCTGGATGGGACGACACAAGCCCTGTATGCTCTGTCTTGGACTTTGCTGCAGATACCAGGATATCTCTGGTTCTCAGAGTCCTGTAGGCCCCAAGCTAGACCAAGTCCATGTGTGGTTCTGATCTGGCCACAAAGGCTGAGCTGGTGGGATTTTGTGAGATGTCCTAACATTGTGTTTTGTCTGATTCACAGCTCCAAGAAACCCAAGAAACACCTTAGAGAGGCCACCAAACCGAAGCCCGCACCCCGGCTCACCATCTTTGATGAGGAGGTGGACCCTGATGAGGGACTCTTTGGCCTCAGCAGGAAGCTTTCCACCAACAGTCCCATGGAGGACGTGTCCCCCAAAGACCGTAAGTAGAGCCTCTTTCCTCCTGGTGTCTGCGCTGTGGCTCTCCTTGGGCCTTGTGTATTAATTAGTACGGCTGTCTTAGCCTTTAGTTTTGTTTAGGCAGGTCATGAACTCAGCTTAAGGAGACTTTTCTGCTGGAAAATCGAACCCCACACCTAGTTTACCTACACACTGAAATGTTCTAGGCCTGAGCAGTTTTACTCTGCACGCTTGGGGTCACTATGAGTCGGACTCTACTCCCTGATCTCTAACAGCCCTGCTAACCCTAAACATCCCACAAAAGGCGAGGATGTTTTTCTTGGTTACTTTGAGATGCACAGCTTGTGATGTGGCCACAAAATGTGGCCACATTCAGCATAAGCTGGGGGCCTCCACGCACTGCAGACCTTGCCCCCAGCTTATGCTGGTGGCTCTGAAATGGAGTTTATCTGAGGTTTGCATTGTCTGGGAAGATTCTATTGTCAGGTTCTGTGCAGAAGTAGAAAAGGGGGCACTGGGCAGCCTTGGAAATTCTGGGAGCTCTCTGGATCTGCTTCTCCCCAATCTCCAGCCAAGTCTACAACCAGGTGGGAGGTCAGTGCCACTCATTAATTCAGCAAACATTTTGGGAGCACTGCTGAGACTAGGCCCTGTGAGGCCGAAGCACAGAGATGAGGAGACAGGACATAGCTGGCAATGCTGTTAGCATCTTTCTGTCTATACCAAGTCAGAGTAGAACCACACAAGTGCCTGTGTGAGAAAACCCAAAATAATTTCCCCGGGGGTTGAGGAAAAGCTGGAGAGGGCTTCCACTTGAGCTGCATCTGGAAAGATCCATGGGAGTTTGCCAGGCCTGCCGAGGAAATGTGTTCTAGGTAAAGGATGGCTATCATCTTTCATCAAGGAAAGTGCTGAGTGGTTCACACAGGGGAGCGGGTGTGGGACCAAGAGCACAGGATTCTGGCAGGTGGTAGGACTGCAGTCAGAACAGTGTCTGCTTACCGCTGTGGCAGCAGAGAGCAGCCCCTATTGTTGGTACTCAGTAACTGTGTGTTGGGAAACACTGGGGTACAGTAGTGGGAGGTGAGTTAGGCATCAGTTGGATTGGATCATGGGGTGCATTGCACCAGGAACCAAAGCAGCAGTTTGCTTCTGTAAGAGATGGGGAAGGAGATGGCGGGGCAAGGAAACTAGACATCAGGAGTGAAGCCGTTCCATGCCTCACAGACAACACGGGAAACGTGAGGAAGAGGCTGAAGCTGACAGGTGTCCACTGTCCCTGAATTGGCCTCCTGCCTTCTCATCTTCCCCTTGCCCTGACTCTGACCCTACTCTTTGGTTCTTTTGTGCTCTCCTGTGTCCTTGCTTGCTGTCTCCTGGTTGTGTCAGGAGACCAGGCCGGGCTGTGTCTACCCTGCATCATGGATAGCTGAGGACTGGACCAGAGCACCCTCTGACCTGCTACTGCTGCCTTCTCTACAGCCCTGAAGCTGTTTGATGATCCTGACCTTGGCGGGGCCGTGCCCCTGGGTGATCCCTTACTGCTGCCAGCTGCCCATGAGCATGGAAGGCCCACATCCAGCCTGGGCCTCAGGGAAGCCTCCAAGGAGCTGTTCAGGTACTCCTGCCCCCAGGTGCCCTACCAGTACTGAGAGAGCCTAACAGGGCCAGGAGACCCCTGGAGTAGCTCCCTCTTTCCAGTGTGGGGGCTTTCAGTAGCCAGCTTCAAAGGCCTGACAAAAACAGGAGCCTGGGGTGCACACTTGCCAAGAGTTAGTGAAGGAGAATCCTGGGGTGGATCCAGCCTCTCAGAGCAGCCTAGCATATTCTAGAACAAGATAATTAGCATTGGCATTAGTTTCATACATACAACAATTCTTTTTCTTTTTACACTCATATTTTAATAGTTTATCAAAAGCATTAAATTATACAATTATAAGAGCAGGTACCACAGTCATAAAGAGGTTTGCTCATGGTCACATGAAGCTCATGTGGTGAGAGCAGGAGAGCTGTACTACAGAGTAGGCCCACCAGTAGGCTTTACAGAGGGGAGGGAGGGCAGGCGAGGTTTCATCTAGTAAGTGGCACTCGATTAGTAGAACTTGTTTGAAAATGATATCTGCTGAGTACTTGTTCTGTCCTATCAGTCTTACTTGATCTTCATCGCTGTTGCTATTGAGTTGACTCTGGCCAAGGTGACCCCATGAGTATCAAAGTACAGTTGTGATCCACAGGGTTTTTTGTTTTGTTTTGTGTTTTAAAGTTTTTATTGTGAACTGAGTGATCATTTACATGGGAGAACATCGGTTTTACACTCATTGTTTCATTGCAATGATTGCAGTATCTTCTGTGCATCATCATTCAATAGTATTTGCTTCTATTCCCACTTGTTTTTTGGTTTCTTTGTTTGTTTTGTTTTGAGTGATGTACACAAAAACACTCAGGAATATATAATAATTTAAACAACCAAAGGGCACATTCTGCAAGCTTGCCTTCTGGCTGCCAGCATACAGCCTTTCTCTTTCCATGAGTCTGGAGTCCTCAGCTGCTCTATCTCTCCATGTCCCCATCTTTCTCCATCTTTGGGTCCCATACTCTGCTTGTGCTCTTCTCCCTTGATGGTTCCATAGGGTTTTTAATGGCATAATTTTCCAGAATAGATAGCCAGGCTTTTCTTCTGTGGTGTTGCTGGGTGGATTCACACTGCCAACCTTTCATTCAGTAGATGAATGCAAACTGTTTGCATCACCCAGGCAAGTTTTATCTTCCTAACAGCGTCCTATAAAACCTAAACCAAACTTGTCATCATCACACCAAACAGCCTCTTAGAACACTAAAACCATACCCATTGTTGTCATGCTGATTCTGACTCATTTCAGCAGTAGAACTGTCCCATAGGGTTTTCTTGGCTGTAAACTTTATGGAAGCAGATCGTTGGGCTTTTCTTCCATAGTACCGCTGGGTGGGTTTGAACCGCTAACCTTTAGGTAGTAGTCAAGCAAAAACCATTTACACTACCTGGGGACCTCCCATTTCACAGGACACTGAGGGAGGGAGGGTCAGAGCTCCAGGTTGACCTGCCTTGGTCCTGTTCTCTCCACCCTTCTGGTCCCTTCTCTGTGTGCAGGATGAACCAGGGACTCTAGCACTTGTTGGCGAGGCTGGGCCACAGCGGGCTCTCCCAGGCCTCTGTGTCTGCAGACTGCGATGTTGGTGTGCTTAGCACGTCCACACCACATTATTGTGTGTCACCCAGGATGCAGGCTGTGCCTGGGCGATTTACAGAAAGCCAGGATGTCTCTTTCCAGGAACCGTTTACATGGCGCCAAGGCGTACAGTCCTCAGGGGCTGTCATCTGCACCCCTCGTTAGCAGACACGGCCTATTAGACAGCCCTTAAGTGCCCGCCGAGCTTCAGTCACAGTGACGGCTTCTGGCATTTACATCTCCCCCCGGCCCCTGGCATCTGTTCACTTGCATCTTGTGTCCTCGTTCCCAACATCCTGCCAGGATGGCAGGAATCAGGATTATTGTTCTCATTAAAGGGGAAACTGAGGCACAGAGAGAGAATTACAAGGATTAGCCCTGGGGAGGGGCAGGCCAAGCAAATATGCCCAGCCCAGGGAGCTTCAGCTTGTCCCGCTGGGACAGGTAGAGTGGGACCTTGTGGCACAGTGCATTCTGAAGCCATTACATCAGCACTTACCCACATGTTCTGAGGGACACAGGTATAGTGTGACAGTAAAGGTGCCACCTTCAAAAGGGTTCTGTGGCTTCTTAGGGCCTTACACATATGGGCATGGACCGCTAAAGGGAGAAACACCATGCAGCATTTTCTGCTGTTATTGGATCCCTGGATCCCGCCCTTTGTAATGTCTGTTAGCATCCCATAGAGCTGAAGGGCCACTGAGCATGTTTTTTCTGAATCTGCTCTGAAGAATGTGAGGTGTGCATCCCTGTCTTCACTTCTAAGAGACATCTGGTAATGAGAGACTAAGCTTTTTGAGACCAGAAATCATATTGTATTCTTCTTTGTGTCTGCCTGTTGACTAGGCAAGCAGGAATTAAGGTTCCTTATAATGAAAGGCTTTCTGACATTCATGCAGACCCACCTATTTATCCCATCAGCTGGCCACCTGAGATGGCGTGGAGTGGTGTGACCAGCAGGTTTGAAGCAGCCTCCAGGTTGGATCATCTGCTGGGTTTTGCCCTCATTAGGGACCCAGGAAGAGAGGGGTGAGGGCTGCCATCCTCAAAGTCCCTTCCACCCGCTGTACAGTTGACTTCACTCAGGCTGAACCTGGATGAGGGAGGGCTCCAGAGCACCTTGCATGTTAGTGGGACCTTTCCCTAGTTGTGACTTAAAGACCCCAAGTAGAAATAAGGGGTTCCCATGCAGCCACCATATGCTAAGTGAAACTCCACCCCTCCTATCATGGCTGGTCACCCCACACCACATCTCCCACCTCAGCACAAATTAGTTCTGAAGAGTCAGTGCTTTGTCAGGCAGTATGAACCTTGGAGTATGACACAGCTTTCGGCGGCTGCTTCATTTTCCTACGAGCCGCAGTGCGAGGGTCCATGCCCTGACATTTCTCTGGAGCCCCAGCTTCCAGTGGAGGAATGGGGCTGAGATGGGGAGAGCTTATCAAGGGCTGCTGCTCTGTGAAGGCAGCCAGGACTCTCCTTGTCTGACTGTTACTGTTAGTTGCTATCAAGTTGATTCCAGTTCATGGAGACCCCATGTGTGTTCTAGTTTAGGGTTCAGGGTTTTCAATTCTAGGACTTTAAGGAAACAGGTTGCCAGGCATGTCTTCACCTCTGGTTGGATTCAACCCACCAGCTTTTCAGTTAGTAGTTGAGCACTTAACCATTTGTGTGACTTAGGGAATCTGGTCCCTGTTTGACAGCCTCCTAGCATCACCTGTCTGGGAAGCCTGGCTCAGGTGGCCCCTCTGAGTCTGAAGTAGAACACTCCTTTTGCTCCCTGCTCTGTAGTCCAAGAAGACTTTAAAAAACTGTCTTTGGTGTCTGTGCCTTCTTACAGGAAGTCAGGCCAGGAATTGGGCAGGAGCTAAGGTTGAGGAAGGTTGTGCTGGGCACCATCACCCTTCTGAACCCTTCTCCAGACCCTTAGCACTGAGGACTTATTCTGACCAAAGAGGCCTCCTGTCTCCTTTCTATCCCTTGGGTGCAGTGCCCAGGCAGGACGCCTCTGGTATCCAGCCTGCCCAGTTCCCACTGCGAATTCTTCTCACCATTAGACCCTTGCTCTGTGTAGCTCTCTGCTCCAAAATTCCCACTTTGCTACTCTCCATTTGTGCCAGGCCTGTTCTTGTTGAAAGACCTAGTTTCTCCAGGAAACTTTTCCAACCTATTGTGGCCCATGGGGTCCTTCCTCTCTCTGAACTTATTCTTGGGCCCTTTGAATGGTGTTAAGTCCTGTCTTCCCAGGTGGACTGTGAGTGCCCAGTGAGGAGAGGGGGTGGTTGCTTGTGCCTTCATATCTTATGTATGCCTTGTTCCACACACAGCAGCTTTCAGTAGAAAATCACTATGTGCCAGATCCCCTTACATTTGTAAAGCACTTTCCATTTGTTATTTTATTTGATCCTTATGTGAATGCCTATGAAGTCAGCAGGGTGGGAAGGATCCCCAGTTTACAGATGGGGAGACGAGGACCCAGCAGGGAGATGGTGTTGCCAGGGGCCACCAGATGTAATGCAGGGGTTGTAGAGTAAAGCATGGAGCCCAGGTCTCCTGGTCACAGTGCTGTGCAGCCTTGCCAGGGGAGGCTGTTGTCCCCATTTTGTTCCCACTGTAGAAAACAAAACTTAGAGTGGCCAGGTAGCTTGCCCAAGGCCTTCCTAGTCATCTTCCTGCAGCTCGTGGCCCTCTCTCACCTGCCCATGTGTGTCAGACTGATGAATACTCAGACACCTACTAAACACAGGAACCTCTCTGCCCAGGTGTGGGTTGCACCTGTCTGAATATTTCAGCTAGTTGCTGGTGTAGGAAGCTTGGAAGGGGCCAAGTACCTTTCCACCTCTTGAGTCCTTGGGAATTTTCCATGTAACTCTACCTAAACCTCCTCAAACCATTCTCCCAGCCCTGTGAGTGGTTGGACCCCTAGTGGCTCCTCATTCCAGAGCAGGCTGGCTGAGAGCGTAGGAGGAAGAGCACCCGCCTGGGGACCTGAACATGACCTGCGGTTTCCCATGCCCTGTCTTAAGCCAGGAGTCACACTGCACTTCCGTCTTGTCCAGAAGACATGCAAGTCTGATCCAGCTATTCTTTCTTAGAGTGATGGGGGCTGGAATATTCCTGAAGTGACCTCATCCAGGCCCTCACAGATAAGAAAACTGAGGCAGGGATTGGAAGGACCTACGAAACTCTAAAGTTCTTCTTGTGCTTGACATTTTTTCAATCACTGAGAGGCATTCAGACGCAGTCAGACGCAGTACGTCCTGGACTGAACTGTCCTCTGTCAATGGACAGAGGACAGAACTGTCCTCTGTCAAGAAAAGTGGGCAGCAGGGGTCCTTAATCCTGACCCAATGTAAGAACTTGCTGGGGATGAGGATGCAGGTTTTCTGAGACCACAGAGGTTTCCATGGAGTTCACAGGGTAGGTCCTCAAGGTGGGCAGCCCCTCAGTGTCACATGGGTAGGGGCCTTAGTCACCTGCTGTTTCCACAGTGTGCTGTTTAGAGGAGCTGTATCCTCAGCATAAGTAGGGACCAAGAAACTGATATCAACACTAACTTGAAGCTAGAGAAAGGGCTGTAATGCATAGGTGTTCCCTGGAAAGCAAACCCACGACAGAAAACTCAGGCAGCCACCTTCAGGTTCCAGTCCTGCTCCGCTGTATACTAGCTGTGTGATCCAGCACCGGGCAGCCTCTCAGAGCCTGTGTTCACATCTGTAACTTGGAGCTGATACCTGCTAGCAGATAGTATTATGAGTTAATTGAGTTAATGAATGTTGAAATGCGAGGGCACCAAGTATATAAAGCACAATGTTTATTGGGTAAGTATTGAGTATATCGGGTAATATAGATTGAATGGGGGCTTCAGTTGGGTATCAGGCCTTCAGGAGGTGAGTTTTTCACTAAGAGTTGCAGCAAGAGCTCCCTGCAGGCAAGAGAATACATCCAGGCTGCAACCTGGCCCTTCTTCCTGCCGCTCAATACCTCGAGGTGGCCCCATGAGATCCACTTATGGGTGTTCAGCCATTGAGAGCCAGGCTGAAACCTGATGGGTCTCTGGCCCACCGAGGGGCATTGTGGGGCAGGCAGACTGCAGGTCACAGTGGCTCAGAGTTCTTTTCTCTGACTGAACTTGGTTCAGATGGGAGCTCTGCTTCTGAAGTCAGGCAGACTCTGCCACACACTAACTTCATCTTAAGCCATACCCTCCTTGGGCTTTAGCATCTTCATTTACAGAGTGGGGGTACCACAGAACCTCCCCCCAAGGGATGATCATATTAGTTAATAGATTTAAAACACTTGGCACAGAGCACAATAGTGTAGTGGCCATTCTTAGTGTTATTTCTAATGATACTGAAGGAGCAGTCCCCTAAAGAGGTCGGTGGGTCTAGTGTGGAGTCACTACAAAAGCAACTCTTCCAAGGCTACTGAGGGCCTGCTCTGCTCCCGCTGTGCTGTGGGATTGGAGGAAAGGCTCAGGGCAACCGGTCCAAGGAGAGGGCAGGGCCCAAGTCCTCAGGGGAATAGGTTACCTGGGCATCTTGCTCCATTTGTAGGGAGTATAACCATTTTGGTCCGTAGAATTGAAGACGACTTGGACCAGATCCTGAACCTTGGTGCTGAACCCAAACCCAAGCCTCTGCCTAAACCCAAGCCACCAGTCGCAGCTAAGCCAGCATTACCCAGAAAACCAGCCATTCCCCCCAAAGCGGATCCATCTGAAGCTGTGGTCGGGCAGCAGAAGCAGCAACAGCAGCAGCAGATCCAAGCCATGGACGAGCTGGACATCTTGCGGTACATCCAGGACCAGGATGTACCTGGCCAGGCCACCCCCAGTCTCTTTTGATGCTGCCTACCCCTTGGCTGGGCTCTTGTCCATCACACCTTCTCCTGTGGAGGGGTGGGGACTTTACCTCTAATTCGAATGTGGGAGGGGGTTAGGGTTGGATTGAAGCCTGGCTTATAGGACCTCTGTCCTGCCTTGTTCCTTTACCTCCTGGTCTGTGGGATCCAAATGGGCTCTGCAGGGTGGAGAGTGAAGGTTCCCATATGAAGTGGAGCCGCGTGGTGTCAGTCCAGGTGGGTGTGAAGGGGAGGAAGACTATGGGGATGCCTAGTTCTGACAACGGAGTGAGACGTGAGGTCTCAGGGACACCTGGCAGAGTGAACAGGTGACCTTCTGTCACTTGGGACAGAGGAACCTCCTACTCATGCCCACTGGTGCTGCCAGCCCCAGAGCAGGGAGAAGGCCCGGGCTAGGGGTGTGGTCTCCCCATGCCAAGCCACTCTGGAGTTTCTAGGTGTCTGGAGGAGGCTCTGGGAGGGGCCCCCAGGAGAGAACCCTGAGTTGGGGGGTTTGGGAGAGCTAAGGATCCAACATGAATTCTCTTCTAAGCCATCTCCAGTTACCGGATTCCAGGCAGGCTGCTTTCCTAGTGGTACCAGTACAGGAAAGTCAGGCCCAACCCAGCTGCTCTGGGGTCTGGCTAGCACCCTTGACCAGCTCCACATTTGCCTCCTCCTGCCTTTTGCAGGAAAAGCCAGGCCAGAACATGGCCTCCATTGGGCCTTTAGGCAGAAGCTAAGGTCTACCATTGCAACTTTAAGCAATGTAGGTCATGGTGTCCTCTAGAATATTGCCTGGACCTGGGCTTGGGATGGCTTTCCAGCCCCTTGTTGCACCTGCTCACAGTAGGCCAGGGCATGATGCTCTCTGGCCTCTGCTTCGAGGGCCCAGCGGCCACCTGGGCAGTGAGTTCCCTCAGGCTCTGCACCTTCTCTCTGATCTTTCACCAGTGGGGACTGCCTGCCCAGGGAGCATCAGTGCCTTAGACTGCCCCACCCCCCACCCCAGGCCACCAGAACCCCTGGACACAGGTCAAGCCTGGTGTGATACTCAGGAAGGTCTCAGTGAATGAGTGATGCTTCGTGGAACAAAGCAAGGAAAGGATGTCATTTTTTGATAAATTCTTCATGTCTAGAGCTAGATTTTTAAAGAAACACAATAGTTGTTTTTTTTTGTTTGTTTTATTTTGAAACATACTAGTTTTTAATGAAACTCAACCACTGTTGCCCTTTGGCTCCGTCCTGCCTGACTAGTAGAGGCATTGGAGGGGGTTTTGGGAATACGATACCAGACCCTTTCCCCAAAGAGGCCAAGAGCCAACCCATAGAGAGTCCCGGTTGTCCTGTGCCTGTTGTTTGCTGCCACCAGAGTCTCTAGTGGCCCCTGCCCTGTCCCACAGTCTGCAGAGACTGGCAGAAGGGTTGAGTCCGGTCTTTCCTGCATCTTACCACATGCCGCTTCACCTGTCTAATCCTGAAAAGGCCGCCCATCCACACCTCCACCTGTGCCCAATGAGGGAAAGCAGGTGATTCTGAGATGGCATTCCTCCCCGCCCTCCAGGGCTTGAGCTGCCTAGCCCCAGTGATGGATGATGGAATGAGACCCAGCCCCTGGGCTTACACCCAGGATTGCCTGAGGAGAAGGCTCGGGGAGAGGAAGAGAGGCTTCAGGGCTGCGGTAACACAGCCCTTAGCTCTCCATCTCACCTCCCCACCTCCCTCTCAGTGCCAGCTCCCTGAACCCTCCTTCCCTGGCTTTCCCTGTCCTCCAACATTCCTTTGGACACTGGAGACATGATTAGTTAGCCTGGAGAAAGCTCACCTATGACATAGGAGCAAAAGATGACAGTGGGACCGGGTCCATGGCTGGGGGCTTTGTGGCTCCATCGAGCTGTGGCCCAGCTTCATTCTCAGTGGTCATGAATTCTCTGTGTGGACACTTGAGTGAAGATTGGGGCCTTCGCAGATAAGGTTCATTTCTCACCACAGGTCTGTATCATCCTTTCATCAATAAAGCCTGTGTTCAGTGATTCATTCCAGCTTTTGTTAATTATCTTTTTTCCTGTGTGCTCGATTAATGGGAAGGGTAGATCATCCTTTGTAACAACAGAATTATCTAGGGGAGCGGCACCGAGGATCCCCAGGATTTGCTGAGGCTCTGCCCCAGCTTTCCAGGTGGGAGAGGAAGGATTCCAGTCATTTTTTTCCCACTGTGTAAACTGAGGCAGAGAGACTTCAATGGAGGCCTCACATCAGTAAAGGAGTGACTGCTCGGCCAGGACTTCTGTAGAAGGAGAACCCCTTCTCCTCTTCAGACTTCACCACCCATCGCCTTAAAGTAGGAACCAGTTCCTGCTTGGGCTGCCCCCGGGACCCTTTCAGCTCTAACGACAGACCGGGTTCTGCATACTTGCACAGGTATCGTCATCAACCCACAGAGAAACTCTGCCTGGCCTCCTGGCCACACTCCATGCTGGTGCTCAGCTTCTGAGAAGCCATTTTCATTCCTGGAACCCATAGATTTCGGAGTCAAACAATTCTGCAAACTGGCCTCCACTGCAGAACAAGAAACAGGTTCTGTGAAACACAGGGAGGGAGTCTGTGTGCTGATAGTGTGGCTCTTTGCTCCCACACCTGAGTTTGGATCTGTAAACTAACATGAATTGGTGTATTGGCTCCTGTGAACAACTGATCCAGCCATTCTGAAAAAGACCATTCAACCCAATTTGCAATGAAAGAGGAACTGAGAGGTTTCATTAGGGACCCACAGAGTTTGTTTATTTAAGCCCTCTGGAGGATGCAGTGGCTGGCTAGGACAGGGGTCTCCCCCTTTTTCCTGGTATTATTTCTCTCAGGAAGCCATCAATTCCAGCCAGTTCTAGACAGCTTCAGTCCTAGTGGCTAGTGCTGGCCAAGCCCATGTCTTCAGCCCTGCCAGAGGGAATGCCCACCATTTGAGCTCAGGCACCAGTGGGCATGTCAGTGTACTGGGTGTAGACTGATTTCAGCTCCTGTGCACTTGGGCTGGCCTGAGGTTCCCGCACACCAGAAACAGGAGACTGCAGAAGTCTAGCCCACTCTTTGGGGGCCCCATAGCCTTAGTACCCGAAGTCCTGGTGTGGCACTGTAGGGTAACTGCTGGACTGCTGAATGCAGGGCTGGTAGTTCATACCCACCAGCCACTCCTTGGAAAGTATACTGGGTATGACTCAATGGCACTTAACAACGGCCTTAGTGCCCAGCTGTCACTTGGTGCTGTGTCAATATGCTCAGTGCACGGATTTCATACTCAGTTCTGTACCCTGATAGAAGGAGCCCTGGTAGCACAGTGGTTACAGCTCTTGGCTGCTAGCAACAAGGTCAATGGTTTGAACCCACCAGCCACTCTGAGGGAGAATGAAAGATCTGCAAATAATTACAGCTTTGGAAATCTTTGGAGCAATTCTCCTCTGCCCTCCAGTGTCTCTATGGACAAGGATAGGTTATGGGCTATGCTTTGATCTGTCTCTTTCCCTGTCACTAAGGAAATTTGACTGTACAAAGTCACTCAGTTCTCTAGTTCACCAACAGACCTAGGGAAGACAAAGGTAACAGAGCTTTCAAAATGTTCCCTGGATAGTGACCCTGGCTGCCCAGTCGGCACATCTGGATGCTTCTGTCTTCATGTGGATGTGATGGCTGGCCAGAGCAAGTGTAGTGACTTCAGAGCCCCTTGAGTAATCAACCTTCCAGTGTCAGGCTGGGTTGGTCCCATTCACTGTAAACATCTCACTAAATCATTCTACTTGCAGTACTCTAAGGTCTCGAGGTTGGGGAAAGTGGACCGAGACCATGGAGTCATTGGCTAGAAGCCGCCTCTGGGTTCTCATATCACCAAAATCTGAATGAATCAGTGGTCAGACCCTATGGGAATGGAAGAATCTGGGTTCCAGTCCTGCTCGGCCATGCGTCATCTCCAGTGCCAAGTGAGGAAACCTGCCTTGGGTTCATGTGAAGAGACTGTTGTCAGCTGTGATCCAGTCAATTCTCACTTGTATTACAGAATTGAATTGTTCCGTAGGGTTTTCTTGGCTGTGTTTCTTAGTCTTCATTGGAGAAGATCAGCAGGCCTTGTCTTCTGAGGTACCACTAGGTGGGTTTGAACCTCCAGCCTTTAGCAGTCAAGTGTAAACCATTTGCACCACACAGGGACCCTATGTATTGTAAAATTACATGCATCCTTGAAGGATTATCAGTGGACTGATCCCTCTAATTGAGCACAGTGAAATCCTTGTCCAGAATGAGTGCAATACTAATACGAAGAGGCAGGGTTTGGATGGATGGTCAGAAGGCACTGCCAACTTCAGCTCAGCCTGGCCTCCGCCCAGGGCATTGACCATTATTTCTACCCTTTCACTGTGCTACAACAAGGTATCGGAGACCCTGCCCCTGCATTCAAGGGCTCTTGGGGTACAATATGCTCAACACAGACTAATCTGCCTCAACCATGACTGACCTCTACCGCTTGTTTTACATCCCTCTGGCGACTGGTGAGAGCCATGGGATTTCATTTTTTGGGTCATGCCCAGGTTAACGCAGCCTCTAGTGCAGGGATTATGGTCTCAGCACATGGCTTCAATAAGAAAGAATCCCTATTGACAGTGGTCAGAAGTGCTGATAATTCTCTGCAAACTCAGCAAATATCAGCAGCTTCCAAATAGTTTTTTCAATAAAGCTGGGTTAGCTGCCACCATTCCAGTTGGCCAATCATACCATCTGCTTCCTCACATGCAAAGCTCATTCAACAATACCAAGCATTTAATGCCACTTACCTGGTGTAGTGCCATGGGTTAATGCACCAGACTGTAAAGCTGTTTGAAATGCAATGTTGGCAGTTCAAGCTCACCAGCTACTCCTCAGAAACCCTATACAGGGTTGCTATGGGTCAGAAGTGACTCGACAGTACTTAACAGCTGTGTACAGGCACTGTGACATGCCAAACACGGGAATGATCAGGTCGAG